TCTACTAATACGTAGTCCAACAAACTACTGTCATTACATCCTAATCATATCTTGTATACTTATTTATCCTCTTTTTCTTAAAATATGTATTACCTATAACTAAACCCCTTTCTATACCAAATTCAATCAAAGGGCTCCCATTATCATTTACACCTGGCACCCCAAACTTACCTACCACACCCTCTTTAAATGTTTCTCCTACTTTACTCTCTCACTTGGTTCAAAAGATCCAACACACTCGCTTAATATCTCCCAAAAACTCTCTTCTCTACACTCCTCTCTTCTCCAGGTGCACACACACTTATTATGACCCACTTTTTGCATCTGACCCTTATTTTAATCCACATAATCCTTAAATTTATACATTTATATTCCCTCTTCTCCTTCCATAACTGATCCTTCAACATTATTGCTACTCCTTCCTTAGCTGTAACTCTCTCAGATACTCCTAACTTAATCCAATTTATTTCTCCCCACTGAAACTCACCTACCCCCTGTCAGTGTTGTTTTACTATTTAGTACATATTAATAAATTTATTACAATAAAGAAAAATAGTAAAATTATAACTTTCCCTTGCATTTTTAACAATAAAAAGAGTGTAAGAGAGGGTGGGTGGAACATTTGAGCATTGGTAGCCCTTAACACCACCACCCTCACACATGTCACAGTTTCTTTATTACAATATACAAGTGTACAAACTAAACTGATGCACAAATATATATGAAGTAGGTACTGTATACACATTACATAAAGGTTCATTTCAATTTTTCTTTTATTATGCAAAGGAAGATAAAGAGAAGATACATAAACACTGGGTGAGTCTCTCTCATGGACACTTATAAGTAAATAAACAAACAATTACTTGAACTAAATACCAGTATTGAAAAGTAAATCAATGAGATGTTTATGTTGGTGATCACTACAGTGTGGAGGCTCACCATCGCCAAGAATGTTCATAGGTATAGCACCATCGTACAGTTGAAATGTCGTAAGTCAAACCATCATAAAGCAAGGAGCACCTCTATATACACACAGACACATACAGATGTGTGTGTATAATATAGATATATACATAGATATATACATATATATATATATATATATATATATATATATATATATATATATATATATATATATATATATATATATATATTTATATATATATATATATATATATATATATATATATATATATATATATATATATATATATATATATATATATATATATATGCCTCGGTGGGAGACGGCCGACTTGTTGAAAAAATATATATATATATATATATATATATATATAATATATATAAATATATATATAATATATATATATATATAATATATATATATATAGGTAGTAGGTTGGTAGACAGCAACCACCCAGGGAAGTACTACCGTCCTGCCAGATGACTGTGAAACAAAAACCTGTAACTGTTTTGCATGATGGTAGGATTGCTGGTTTCTTTTTCTGTCTCATAAACACGCTAAGATAACAGGGATATCTTGCTACTCCTACTACACTTTGGTCACACTTCACAGACACGCACATGCATATATATATATACATACATCTAGGTTTTTTCTCCTTTTTCTAAATAGCTCTTGTTCTTTTTTATTTCTTCTATTGTCCATGGGGAAGTGGAAAAGAATCTTTCCTCCGTAAGCCATGCGTGTCGTATGAGGCGACTAAAATGCCGGGAGCAATGGGCTAGTAACCCTTCTCCTGTATACAATTACTAAAAAAAGAAGAAGAAAAACTTTATAAAACTGGGTTGCTTAAATGTGCGTGGATGTAGTGCGGATGACAAGAAACAGATGATTGCTGATGTTATGAATGAAAAGAAGTTGGATGTCCTGGCCCTAAGCGAAACAAAGCTGAAGGGGGTAGGAGAGTTTCAGTGGGGGAAATAAATGGGATTAAATCTGGAGTATCTGAGAGAGTTAAGCAAAGGAAGGGGTAGCAGTAATGTTAAATGATCAGTTATGGAAGGAGAAAAGAGAATATGAATGTGTAAATTCAAGAATTATGTGGATTAAAGTAAAGGTTGGATGCGAGAAGTGGTCATAATAAGCGTGTATGCACCTGGGAGAAGAGAGGAATGCAGAGGAGAGAGAGAGATTTTGGGAGATGTTAAGTGAATGTATAGGAGCCTTTGAACCAAGTGAGAGAGTAATTGTGGTAGGGGACTTGAATGCTAAAGTAGGAGAAACTTTAGAGAGGGTGTGGTAGGTAAGTTTGGGGTGCCAGGTGTAAATGATAATGGGAGCCCTTTGATTGAACTTTGTATAGAAAGGGGTTTAGTTATAGGTAATACATATTTTAAGAAAAAGAGGATAAATAAGTATACACGATATGATGTAGGGCGAAAATGACAGTAGTTTGTTGGATTATGTATTGGTAGATAAAAGACTGTTGAGTAGACTTCAGGATGTACATGTTTATAGAGGGGCCACAGATATATCAGATCACTTTCTAGTTGTAGCTACACTGAGAGTAAAAGGTAGATGGGATACAAGGAGAATAGAAGCATCAGGGAAGAGAGAGGTGAAGGTTTATAAACTAAAAGAGAGGCAGTTAGGGTAAGATATAAACAGCTATTGGAGATAGATGGCTAATGAGAGCATAGGCAATGGGTCGAAGAGGTATGGGTAGTTTAAAAATGTAGTGTTAGAGTGTTCAGCAGAAGTTTGTGGTTACAGGAAAGTGGGTGCAGGAGGGAAGAGGAGTGATTGGTGGAATGATGATGTAAAGAGAGTAGTAAGGGAGAAAAAGTTAGCATATGAGAATTTTTACAAAGTAGAAGTGATGCAAGGAAGGAAGAGTATATGGAGAAAAAGAGAGAGGTTAAGAGAGTGGTGAAGCAATGTAAAAAGAGAGCAAATGAGAGAGTGGGGAGATGTTATCAACAAATTTTTGTTGAAAATAAGAAAAAGTTTTGGAGTGAGATTAACAAGTTAAGAAAGCCTAGAGAACAAATTGATTTGTCAGTTAAAAATAGGAGAGGAGAGTTATTAAATGGAGAGTTAGAGGTATTGGGAAGATGGAAGGAATATTTTGAGGAATTGTTAAATGTTGATGAAGATAGGGAAGCTGTGATTTCGTGTATAGGGCAAGGAGAATAACATCTTGTAGGAGTGAGGAAGAGCCAGTTGTGAGTGTGGGGGAAGTTCGTGAGGCAGTAGGTAAAATGAAAGGGGGTAAGGCAGCCGGGATTGATGGGATAAAGATAGAAATGTTAAAAGCAGGTGGGGATATAGTTTTTGGAGTGGTTGGTGCAATTATTTAATAAATGTATGGAAGAGGGTAAGGTACCTAGGGATTGGCAGAGAGCATGCATAGTTCCTTTGTATAAAGGCAAAGGGGATAAAAGAGAGTGCAAAAAATTATAGGGGGATAAGTCTGTTGAGTGTACCTGGTAAAGTGTAATGGTAGAGTTATAATTGAAAGAATTAAGAGTAAGACGGAGAATAGGATAGCAGATGAACAAGGAGGCTTTAGGAAAGGTAGGGGGTGTGTGGACCAGGTGTTTACAGTGAAACATATAAGTGAACAGTATTTAGATAAGGCTAAAGAGGTCTTTGTGGCATTTATGGATTTGGAAAAGGCGTATGACAGGGTGGATAGGGGGGCAATGTGGCAGATGTTGCAAGTGTATGGTGTAGGAGGTAGGTTACTGAAAGCAGTGAAGAGTTTTTACGAGGATAGTGAGGCTCAAGTTAGAGTATGTAGGAAAGAGGGAAATTTTTTCCCAGTAAAAGTAGGCCTTAGACAAGGATGTGTGATGTCACCGTGGTTGTTTAATATATTTATAGATGGGGTTGTAAGAGAAGTAAATGCGAGGGTCTTGGCAAGAGGCGTGGAGTTAAAAGATAAAGAATCACACACAAAGTGGGAGTTGTCACAGCTGCTCTTTGCTGATGACACTGTGCTCTTGGAGATTCTGAAGAGAAGTTGCAGAGATTGGTGGATGAATTTGTAGGGTGTGCAAAAGAAGAAAATTAAAGGTGAATACAGGAAAGAGTAAGGTTATGAGGATAACAAAAAGATTAGGTGATGAAAGATTGAATATCAGATTGGAGGGAGAGAGTATGGAGGAGGTGAACGTATTCAGATATTTGGGAGTGGACGTGTCAGCGGATGGTCTATGAAAGATGAGGTGAATCATAGAATTGATGAGGGAAAAAAGAGTGAGTGGTGCACTTAGGAGTCTGTGGAGACAAAGAACTTTGTCCTTGGAGGCAAAGAGGGGAATGTATGAGAGTATAGTTTTACCAACGCTCTTATATGGGTGTGAAGCGTGGGTGATGAATGTTGCAGCGAGGAGAAGGCTGGAGGCAGTGGAGATGTCATGTCTGAGGGCAATGTGTGGTGTGAATATAATGCAGAGAATTAGTAGTTTGGAAGTTAGGAGGAGGTGCGGGATTACCAAAACTGTTGTCCAGAGGGCTGAGGAAGGGTTGTTTGAGGTGGTTCGGACATGTAGAGAGAATGGAGCGAAACAGAATGACTTCAAGAGTGTATCAGTCTGTAGTGGAAGGAAGGCGGGGTAGGGGTCGGCCTAGGAAGGGTTGGAGGGAGGGGTAAAGGAGGTTTTGTGTGCGAGGGGCTTGGACTTCCAGCAGGCATGCGTGAGCGTGTTTGATAGGAGTGAATGAGAACAAATGGTTTTTAATACTTGACGTGCTGTTGGAGTGTGAGCAAAGTAACATTTATGAAGGGATTCAGGGAAACCGGCAGGCCGGACTTGAGTTCTGGAGATGGGAAGTACAGTGCCTGCACTCTGAAGGAGGGGTGTTAATGTTGCAGTTTAAAAACTGTAGTGTAAAGCACCCTTCTGGCAAGACAGTGATGGAGTGAATGATGGTGAAAGTTTTTCTTTTTCGGGCCACCCTGCCTTGGTGGGAATCGGCCGGTGTGATAATAAAAAAAAAAAAAAATATATATATATATATATAATATATATATATATAATATATATATATATAATAATGTATGTATGTATGTATATACATATAGACATACATATGTACAATAACAGATAATGTCTTGAAAATTATAGAATATAATTCTCTGCATTATTTCAACAACAAGTTTGGTCGATGGTTGAAGACGAGAGTTATAGGCAACACTAAAGTGTTATAAGCAATTCTAAGGGATTATAGGTAATACTAAGGTGTTATAGGTAAAACTAAGGTGTCGTAGATAGGACTAAGGTGTTATAGGCAAGACGAAAGTGTTATATGTAAGACTAAGGTGTTATAGGTAATCAGAGCATTATTGGTACTTAAGTTATAACAACTTTCTCTTGAAAAAGTTCATATCTTTCAAAACTCTGGCTCTGATTTTTGTTTAAAGTTGTGTAGAGCTCTGTTTAAAGCTTTATTTCAGGGAGACAGAGCTTGAACTGTGAAGTTTGTGGTGGGAACTCTATGTAGAGGATTTACAGCTTTGTTGAGGTGGTGTGTTTAGACACGATAGAACAGAAGACGATGAACAGGAGGGGGTATAAATTTTGAAAGGAGGGAAGATGGGTTCAGGGACAGACCTACTATGAAACTAATGAAGATTAAGTTTGAGGGCCCCTAATCCCTGAGGGGCCCCTAATCCCTGAGGGGCCCTGAACCAACTTTAGTCCACATTGCTTAAAAATTTGGGGCCTACTGTATGAGAAGGGGTTTTTAAAAATAATATATTAATAATATAGTGTAATTCAGTACAAGATAATAGTTAAAATGAAAACTAAAAGGTTATTAAGGTTTCATGGAGGCCTATTGTTGCTGGTTGCCATGGTGACCCCATGACAGGTCAAACTTCAGCGACCCAATTCAAGGCTCTGCTTAGAAATCACCTCATCTCCCAAAATTAACCACACAAACACTATATAATATCGCCACCAACAGCTCAAAAATTCCTAAATATTTTAAGATTATTTCAAAATTAAAATGGTTCCAATCTAATTATGTAAAATGTGCCAAAATATAATGGTGTAACCTGTTAATCAAGTCATCTCAATTATAAATTCAATTACTGCTAAACCACTAACTACTCCAGGTAAACCTCCGTTGAAATATAGAAAATGATATTCAATTCGAACCAACTATGATATATGTGCCTAGTATTAAGTAGTCTGTTAAGCAATAGGTTTAGTCTGCCCAAAATGCCCTGGCATGATAGTGGCTTTCTTTGTACTTAGCAAATCAAAACTGTAATTATACATTGTAAACTATGCAAAGAAATAAAATTTTTAATCTTCAAAAATGTAGGTCCACCACTGCATTGGGGTCATCATAGGAAGAATTGGAGGGAGGGGGTATAAAGGTGGTTTAAGTGCTATGGGCTTGGGCATCTAACAGGCTTGTGTGTGTTAGGAAAGAGCAAGGTAATGTTTATGAAGGAATTCATGAACAATGGTTAGCAGGAATTGAGTTCTGGAGATGGGAAGTACAGTGGCTGCACTCTGAAGGAGGGGTGGTGGGAGGAGGAGAAGAGGAGGAAGAGCCACACACCATCATGGGCCTTCAATAACTCAACGTGTTTAATGATCAGTGACACCTGTGTCTACTAGTAGCACCTGTGTCTTCTAGTAACACCTGTGTCTACTAGTAGCAGGTGTCTACTCTGAGGTCCTCTTGGCCAGCCTGACCCAAACACCATCATGGGCCTTCAATAACTCAATGTGTTTAATGATCAGTGACACCTGTGTCTACTAGTAGCACCTGTGTCTTCTAGTAACACCTGTGTCTGCTAGTAGCAGGTGTCTACTCTGAGGTCCTCTTGGCCAGCCTGACCCAAACACCATCCTGGGCCTTCAATAACCCACTGCGTTGCTCAATGATGAGTGGCACCTGTGTCTTCTTACTGGGTATGAAGGCAAATTCTTGCAGGAGGTAGACAATAGCCACCTTGGCTTCCATCAATGCGAACCTCATTCCTGACAATAAGCAGATAACAGTAGTATTAGTGGTACAATGACATGGATGGTGCAGTTTGTAACTAACGCACAACACATAATCTACCTCCACAGGAGTAAGGCCACCGGGACTCACCTATACAGTTGCGTGGACCACTTCCAAATGGCAGGTAGACACTGTGCGGCCGCCGGGCCTTGTTCTCTGGTGAGAAGCGCTCAGGGTCGAACCGTTCAGGGTTCGGGTAGTGGTCGCCATCACGGTGTATGCTGCAATCAGGAAAAAATTGACAAATCATGAGCCCTGTGTATTTTGCAACAAGGAACTTGACCAATCATGAGCCCTGTGTATGCTGCAAGAAGGAACCTGACCAATCATGAGCTCTGTGTATGTTGCAACAAGGAACATGACCAATCAAGAGCCCTGTATACATTGCAATCACAAATTAAACAGGTTGCAATAGATAGATGTCATGTAATAATTTCGATAGACAGGTTGAAATAGACTTCATGTATTAATCTAAATAAACAAGCTGTAACATAGATTTCATGTTTAAACTGTCAGCAACTGAAGAAGTTCATTTAAACTTTAAATAAGTGTTGAAAGGCCTTCAGAGTAAATGCTAGTCAGTAACATTAATAGAACATGGTACTATATAGAGGAGCTTATGAGAGAGGTGACCCCATCTATCAGGTGGTAGAGATAGATTAGAGAGTAGACTAGAAGCAGTGTTGCTTAAGACATGTTTCTCTCAAGTACATTCAATATTTTGAACCCTTACAGTGTAATTGTCGAGGTTGGGCTATTGGAGTGTGGTCCCCAGGGTCAGAGGCCTCAAGGCCCAGTCCCAGGCCAGGCTTATAGTGACCTTACCTGTAGATGGGTATGGTGACCTTCTGGCCGCGGTGCAAGGTCAGGTCGGTGCCGGGAAGAATGTAGTCTTTAGTGACGGTGCGGTCGACACGCGGCGCCGGGGGGTATAACCTCAGTGTCTCTGTGGAAGTAAGATGTTATTAATGTCTCACATTAATGTTACAACCAGGAGGAACAGTTAATGTGTACACCAGTCATGTTAGTGTTGATGTGTATGTGTGGTACTAACACAGTTATTGACTGAGGGATGGTCAATGTGTCTTCTTCATCTTCCCATGTGTCAGCTAGAACTATCAGGTACATTAACCAGACAACTTACCAGCAAACACCATATCAAGGTAGGTCATCTCCATGATGGCATCGTAGCTGACGTCACCGCCATGCTTCTCCAGGACCCCCTCGATCTCCTGCATGCACCTCTGTTGCACGTCCGGGTGTAGTGCCAGGCAGTATGACACAAAGCTCAGGGTGGTCGCCGTTGTGTCATACCCAGCAATGTAGAACAGCACACACTGTGCTGTAATCACCAGGTCTGTCAATACTGGAAAAAAATTGCATATTAATTTTGATTTCCAAGCATGGAATTAACTCCACTACTCCCTGGCCATCATGTCACCCTTACAGGTATGGTGCTTCCTCACAGAAACACATATGACATGATGCCAATGGCAATATTTACAACTTCAGATAAAAAAAAAAAATCACAATAGTGTATTGGGGTTGAGAATATTTACAACCCACAAATCAGGACACAAATTACTAGGGTTTTGGGTCCATTCTGGACCTACTGAAGGATCACTAGCTGATGTTTTAGTCCATTCTCGACCAGTATCAGTATCAGGCTTCTTTACCAATCAGGGTCCAGGGGCTCTTACTCAACTGACACCCACTTAATTAATCTGATGGACTACCTGAGAACTTAAATGTAGCTAGGGAATCTCATAGGCATGGTGACTTTAAACTTGCAAAAGTACTTCGATATTGTCAACCATAATACATATATTATGTACGCAACTACAAGCTATTAGCATAGGTTCTGTAGACTGGTTTAAGTTCTACCTGAGCATCTACAAACAAACTATCTGGATCAACAACACAGAATTGGAACCCTTGCCAATAGCATATGGGGTTCACCAAGGTAGTATTCTGGTGATAGTATGTGGGGTTCACCAAGGTAATATTCTGGTGATAGTATGTGGGGTTCACCAAGGTAATATTCTGGTGATAGTATGTGGGGTTCACCAAGGTAGTATTCTGGTGACAGTATGTGGGGTTCACCAAGGTAGTATTCTGGTGATAGTATGTGGGGTTCACCAAGGTAGTATTCTGGTGATAGTATGTGGGGTTCACCAAGGTAGTATTCTGGTGATAGTATTGTGGGGTTCACCAAGGTAGTATTCTGGTGATTAGTATGTGGGGTTCACCAAGGTAGTATTCTGGTGATAGTATGTGGGGTTCACCAAGGTAGTATTCTGGTGACAGTATGTGGGGTTCACCAAGGTAGTATTCTGGTGATAGTATGTGGGTTCACCAAGTAGTATTCTGGTGATAGTATGTGGGGTTCACCAAGGTAGTATTCTGGTGATAGTATGTGGGGTTCACCAAGGTAGTATTCTGGTGATAGTATGTGGGGTTCACCAAGGTAGTATTCTGGTGATAGTATGTGGGTTCACCAAGGTAGTATTCTGGTGATAGTATGTGGGGTTCACCAAGGTAGTATTCTGGTGATAGTATGTGGGGTTCACCAAGGTAGTATTCTGGTGACAGTATGTGGGGTTCACCAAGGTAGTATTCTGGTGATAGTATGTGGGGTTCACCAAGGTAGTATTCTGGTGATAGTATGTGGGGTTCACCAAGGTAGTATTCTGGTGATAGTATGTGGGGTTCACCAAGGTAGTATTCTGGTGATAGTATGTGGGGTTCACCAAGGTAGTATTCTGGTGATAGTATGTGGGGTTCACCAAGGTAGTATTCTGGTGATAGTATGTGGGGTTCACCAAGGTAGTATTCTGGTGACAGTATGTGGGGTTCACCAAGTAGTATTCTGGTGATAGTATGTGGGGTTCACCAAGGTAGTATTCTGGTGATAGTATGTGGGGTTCACCAAGGTAGTATTCTGGTGATAGTATGTGGGGTTCACCAAGGTAGTATTCTGGTGACAGTATGTGGGGTTCACCAAGATAATATTCTGGTGATAGTATGTTGGGTTCACCAAGGTAGTATTCTGGTGATAGTATGTTGGGTTCACCAAGGTAGTATCCTGGTGACAGTATGTGGGGTTCACCAAGATAATATTCTGGTGATAGTATGTTGGGTTCACCAAGGTAGTATTCTGGTGATAGTATGTTGGGTTTACCAAGGTAGTATTCTGGTGATAGTATGTTGGGTTCACCAAGGTAGTATTCTGGTGATAGTATGTTGGGTTTACCAAGGTAGTATTCTGGTGATAGTATGTGCGGTTCACCAAGGTAGTATTCTGGGTCCTTTACTGTTCCTATGTTATGTGAATGACACGCCCATCAATGTCAAGTGTAAGCTTCTGTCATATGCAGATGACAGTACTCTGTTAGTATCAGGTAAAGACTTACAATGTAGTATAGCTAATGTACTATCACTAGACCTAGAGTTCTGCAGCAAACAGTAGACAACAAACCACCATAACACTTCGGGAAAACAGAAGCCATACTCTTTGACACAAAATTGAACTGAAATGGGTAAATAATTTTAATGTTCTGTGTAATGGGGAACTTATCACTTCAGTGTAATGGGGAACCCATCACTTCAGTGTAATGAGGAATTCATCACTTCAGTGTAATGGGAAACCCATCACTTCAGTGTAATGGGAAACCTGTCACTTCAGTGTCATGGGAAACCTATCACTTCAGCATAAGGGGAATCCATTACTTCAGTGTAATGGGGAACCCATCACTTCAGTAGCTTCAGTGAAATGTCTGGGTATCCCTTGAGATCCAAGCATGTCAGAACTGATAGGGAACAGTGTAGTAAAGAAAGTGGACGTCAGGCTAAAGTTCCTCTACAGACAGGCACAGTGTCTACCTACTGAGGCACAGTGTCTACCTACTGAGGCACAGTGTCTACCTACTGAGGCACAGTGTCTACCTACTGAGGCACAGTGTCTACCTACTGAGGCACAGTGTCTACCTACTGAGGCACAGTGTCTACCTACTGAGGCACAGTGTCTACCTACTGAGGCACAGTGTCTACCTGCTGAGGCTCGCAGGACACTATGTCTAGCTCTCATACAATGCCATATAGATTACACTCGCTCTTCATGTACTCTGCCTTAACAAAACAATAAAAAAGACTACAAATCAGCCAGAACAAAATGGTGAGAATCCTCCTGGACCGGAGTCCAAGAGAACATGTAGGCCAGGATGAATTACAATAACTGGACCGGAGTCCAAGAGAACATGGAGAGGCGTCGCTAGAGTTCGTGTCACCCAGGGCGGAATCTCTGGTGTCACCCGAAGCATCTTTGGTGTCACCCCCATGAAATTCAAGGGTGAGGGGATGGGGGGTAAATTCCAGTTACGTCACTACTGCATGACCAGTGATTAATGTTTAACAATGAGAACGTTTAAGGGCCATAAACTGAACAGGATAATACTTCTCAAATTTATTAATGATAAAAAAATAATCGTAGTAATATTGAGGAAACATAAACTCAAATACTACTTTGAGTACAGGTAACAGATCCTACATTTATTTATCTTAAACAATGCAAAAAAAAAAAAAACTGAAAAATGAAGAAAAACATTGCAATATCAGAGAAACACTAGTTCCTATTTGAACTTGAGTACAGGTAACATCTCAGTGAATCTGATCTTACATTTCCTTGCCTTCAATCCTGCAAAATCATCTATCACATCATCAAAATCAATGATTTTCCTATTTAGGCTTATTTGTACTCTCTAATCATATAATAGGCTATATAGAAACGAAGGATTCTTCTCTTATGTTGGTGCAGCACTGTTTTGGGCATTAGTGCCACCTTCTTTAGAGGCTCTGTGGTGTCACCCCCTAAATGGTGTCACCAGGGGTGGCCCCCCGCCCCCCCTTACAACGCCTCTGAGAACATGTAGGCCAGGACGAATTACAATAACTGGACCAGAGTCCAAGAGAATATATAGGCCAGGACGAATTACAATAACTGGACCGGAGTCCAAGAGAATATATAGGCCAGGATGAATTACAACAGCTGGAAGTACTGAATGTTGAAGACAGAACTTAAATCATGTTTGTAAAACTGTTCACAAGCAGTGTGCAGAGTAACTTGCTGCCGAGTGTGTCAAGCCTGGCAACCAAAACCAGTATAGCACTATGGTAAGTACAGGCCAGTATAGCACTAGGGTAAGTACAGACCAGTATAGTACTAGGAGAAGTACAGGTCAGTACAGTACTAGGGGAACTACAGACCAGTATAGTACTAGGGGAAGTACAGGCCAGTATAGCACTCGAGTAAGTACAGGCCAGTATAGTACTAGGGGAAGTACAGGCCAGTATAGCGCTAGGGTAAGTACAGACCAGTATAGCGCTAGGGTAAGTACAGACCAGTATAGCACTACGAGAAGTACAGGCCAGTATAGTACTAGGGGAAGTACAGACCAATATAGTACTAGGGGAAGTACAGGCCAGTATAGTACGAGGGGAACTACAGACCAGTATAGTACTAGGGGAAGTACAGGCCAGTATAGCACTAGAGTAAGTACAGGCCAGTATAGTACTAGGGGAAGTACAGGCCAGTATAGCACTAGGGTAAGTACAAACCAGTATAGTACTAGGGGAAGTACAGACCAGTATAGCACTATGGGAAGTACAGGCCAGTATAGTACTAGGCAAAGTACAGGCCAGTATAGTACTAGGGGAAGAACAGGCCAGTATAACACTAGAGTAAGTGCAAACCAGTATAGTACTAGGGGAAGTACAGACCAGTATAGCACTATGGGAAGTACAGGCCAGTATAGTACTAGGCAAAGTACAGGCCAGTATAGTACTAGGGGAAGAACAGGCCAGTATAACACTAGAGTAAGTACAAACCAGTATAGTACTACGGGAAGTACAGACCAGTATAGCACTATGGGAAGTACAGGCCAGTATAGTACTAGGCAAAGTACAGGCCAGTATAGTACTAGGGGAAGTACAGGCCAGTATAGTACTAGGGGAACTACAGACCAGTATAGTACTAGGGGAAGTACAGGCCAGTATAGCACTAGAGTAAGTACAGGCCAGTATAGTACTAGGGGAAGTACAGGCCAGTATAGCACTAGGGTAAGTACAAACCAGTATAGTACTAGGGGAAGTACAGACCAGTATAGCACTATGGGAAGTACAGGCCAGTATAGTACTAGGCAAAGTACAGGCCAGTATAGTACTAGGGGAAGTACAGGCCAGTATAGTACAAGGGGAAATACAGGCCAGTATAGTACTAGGGGAAGTACAGACCAGTATAGTACAAGGGGAAATACAGGCCAGTATAGTACTAGGGGAAGTACAGACCAGTATAGTACTAGGGGAAGTACA